AGGATTTCCCAGCCCTGCACCCAGAGCCCCCAGAAGGAACAGCCCATTTGTGGGGCTCCATAAATATTGCTGCTAATACTCCAGAGCAGGGTCACACTCATCTGCAGCCTCCATTTGGGCATCGGCCCCGCAGCCGGGGAGCAGCGCTCTGCCCGCACCGCGCCACGGCAACTTCCTCTGATTGCTGGTAAGTGGTGCATGGGAAAGAGAGCTGCCTAATGACAGGGCCCTGATATGAGGGATCCGGAGATTAATCAGGCACATCACCTTTTTTTTTTTTTTTTTCCCCCTGTAGGAAACAACCAATTTCTTTAAAATTAATGGCTTGGAAAACTAAAAAAACCCCACATCTTGACAGATTTGCTTGGCCTCGGGGAAACCCTGCTCGGTTCCCTCCCGGGGACTGGCACTTGCCAACACCGGCTTTGGAAAGTCTTGGGAAGTCCCAGGTCTCCCCCATGATGTCCCCTTGCAGCTCCAATCGCTGCTACAGAGCAGGGAGTGAAGAGAGAGTATTTTATATTTTTTTTAAGCGTGCTATTATTGGTATTCAACAAACAATAATAATGTAATCAGAGTGATCAAATCTTCAAGTACTGTCAAGTCAAATTATTTCTGGAAGATGAAAGCATGAAATGTTCTGTGCTTCTGGCAGGTTTTTTGCTACAGAAACTGAACAAAGTGGAGAGTTTGATAACGCATTGATGTTACTGGTTTTAAGCAGAGCTGTGTGAAACGCTGCATTTCCCTGCCATGGGATCGGTGGGGATTTTGTTGCTGTTTGGTGTGTGTGTGTGGGTTTTTGCTCCTGGTTCTCATTATTTCTCCTCATGCTCAGCTCTTGCATAAAGCCCTGTGTCTCCCAGCAATGCAGCATCTCACCCCATCTCCTGGTCCTGCCCGGGGACCCAGGCTTTATGATGGACCAGGGAGCTGAAAAAACTGCCCTTCACCATTAAAATCTCAGCGGGGATTCGAGGAACCAAATACAGCTGTGGTTAAATGTTTGGGTGTCTGCAAAACTCTCCAAGAATGAAAATGGGCCAGTTAAAAGACTTTGATCATTTATTTGTCCAAAATGATAAATGCAAGACTTTCTGTCTTTTTTTCTAAGGCATATAATGTGAAATAAGGGGAACTGAAAAGAAAATAAGGCCTTGGGGGTGCAGTGTGAGCTGTGGTCCGGGCTGGGCTACTGGGGTTCAAGATGAGAGGAGAGTCTGAAACACCCATGGGATCACAGAGAGGGACAGCTTGCCTCCCCCTACCAAAGGAAAAATAATTGGCAGACTCAAAGTAAAATAAGAAAGCAACATAAGAGAGAAACAGCAAAATTCAGAGGGATTGCAGAGGAGTGTAAAAATAGCACTGACATTTGGAGAAATATTTAAGAGATACGGGTAACTGAGATGTTTGTTTGAAGTGCTGAAGAAATATCTACCCCTCAGTTCTGACTGCTCAGATAGGCAGGGACTGGTCCCACACCGAAGTGGCATCACTTGGTGATGTGGGACAGACACGGCTGTGCTGTGTCCCCCATGGATGGAGAGAGGTGCCACCGCTTGTCCCTGCACTGGGGACCCCCAGGAGGCTGCCTGCTGCCCTGGGCAGTGGGGCCAGTGGCCAGTGGGCAATCTCTGGTCCAGCCCCTGGCAGGGAGGGCTCTGGCTCCCTGGTGATGCTGACTCACGTTGGGTGCAGCTTGAAGGGTGATGCTCGTGGCTAAGGGGGGAGGAGTAATTCCAGTTATTTATTTTAATTTTTTAGTGAAAGACCTGCTTCATTTAGCCCCGAGAAAACCTCTACCTGTGGCAAGTGGCAGCCTCCACTGGAAAGGCTTCACTGGCAGCCTTCCACAATGGAAATATTATGCTTTCCCCACCTGCTGAGAAACTTCTGGAGTTCTGTAAATATGGAAGGATTTTTAATGGGAGAGCTTAGGAGAGGGCAGGCAACAAAGTTAATCATGTCATTATCTAAGTGAATAAATAACTCTTTAGGAATGGCATTGAATTCTCATTGTCTAACTGTATTACTAAAAAGGTTGGCTGTATTCCTTAGAAATATTTGTACTTGGGATTTTTTTCTTTAGGAAGTTACTGGGGAATTCAGTTCAGCTCTTTCCACCAAGTCCCCCTCTGTCCCATTGTGCTCTAACAGGGTTGTATAGTTTTCTCTGAAAGACCCCATGAAGAACTCAAAAAGGACTTAAAAAAACCCCAAAGCCCAACAACCAAACCCCAAAGAAACACATAAAAGACTGTGAAGGGCTCAGGAACCTTCCTCCCCACTTTTACTGGGGTCACAAGAAGAGACACAGAGAACTCAATTACCAAGAAGAAACACCGTGGAAGATGTAATTGCCATCTACCAGCAGGACCCTCTCGAATTGATTACTTTTTCCCTTCAGGAGCTTGCTTGTCAGTTGAGCTTTGCTTTCATTAAAGTACTTCTTTTTCTTTCAATTTTCATCAGCTCAAAAATATCCAAAAAAGAAATTTAGAGGTTTTTTCCCTCCCTAGTAGAATAGCACTACCAGCAGTTGCTTGGGCTATTTTTAAATTAAACAGTGTGGAGGAATTTTCTAATAAGAGAGGATTTCAGTCATTATTACTCTCCCTTAAAGCCCAAACCCCAAGCAGACCATTTTCCCCAACTCCAGCTCTCCTCATGTTAGAAGAAAGGCATAAGTCTGATGCTGGGCCAGGCACCGTGGTGGTTTTTTTGGGAGTTGTTTTGTAATGTAAGGTGTTTTACTCTTGTCTCAAATTGGCAATCCTCAAGGTGTCCGGAGAATTAAACTGCCTTACAAGCTTGATCGCAAGTATTTACTGAGCACTAATAGTGATTTATTTATTTATTTATTTTTAATGAGCAATACCAAGATGGCTAGATGTGTATTCCTTCCAAAAACTGGCATTAACTGATTTTTTTAAAGTTGCGTAGAAATTCTCCTCTCTGTCCCTGTCTCTCTTTCCGTCTTCCCATCTTCTTACAAAAATTTAAGTTCATATCCATTTGTACATTAAAAATAACCATTTATTTTCCTACAGGAGAAGAAAGTAATAATTTCAGATTCTGTCTCAGTGACTTTTTAGTATGTATTTTTATGTTTTTTAAGGGCTAATCTTATAAAAATAAGGTTAGGAAAGTGCTGTTATGGGTGGATGAAACAACAAGGAACGTTATTATTTGAATGAAAGGAAGTGATTTGAATGCAGTAATGACTGGTTTAATGATAATGATTAGACAGAAACACTTTGGACCAACATATATTTATTTATTTTTAGGTAAGGTGGATGCATATTTTTATTTTACAAGGTACATGTGGCGCAGCAGAAGTAAGTGTTCAGAAGCAAAGCAATAGACTTCTGTGATCCTGCTACCAAGGCTTCCGAAACAAAAGTACACGTGCTCCAAGGCTGGGAGAAAGGATGTCACAGCAGGTTTCTGGTTGTTTGCTCTTTCTTAAGGACTCTGATCAGGTTTATCAATGAGAGGGGGGGAAAAAAGTGTAGATGATTTTATGGCAGATGAAACAGGCAAGTACCTTGTCTAATTATATTAATAAACAACACTAAAGTATTCTCTTGTAACTATAACTAGTGCAAAATCATTGCTGGTGTAAGGGTTTGAGATGAGAACCTATGGTGTTATTTTTAGGGTGTTATTTTTAAGGTGTCCTTTTTTTTCCTGAACATATTAAAACAGATAAAGAAAAATGAATGGAGAGGAAGAGAAATCCAGCAGGTGGCTCTTGCAGGAGGTGCCACTGGTATTACGATAAGTACAGTGGGTGTTTATGGGCTCCAAGGGCGTACGAGAAGGATTCCAGTTCTTCTGGTGCCTGTCACCAGCCCAAAGCACCGTGTCGCTTGGTCATTTTTGTCTTGCGAGGTCAGGTTAAACAGTACATGATCTTTGTGCTCTCATATGGCTGAAATTCAGCCACCGTGAGCTCACCTTGTGAGCAGCAGAAGCTGTTTTGTTGAGAGATCTTCCTGACCTGGGGCTGGGTCTTGCTTAAGAGATGTCCCTGGGGATGACCTCAAACACGTTCGTGTTCAGACCCTCTTGCAATGCTCCACATCTCTGGAGCAATTTTGCTTCTCCCTGCTCCTGACAGCTGACTTCTGGCATCTGCAATGAACCCTGCTGCAAAGAAGCCAAGTGGAGAAGGTTCTTGATGTCAGCTCGTAGCCCGTAGGAAAACTCATTAAGAGATGAGCCGCTCCACAGACCGTTCTGAAAAAATAGAAGTTCTGGCACAAGGAAGATTATTATTCAACAAAATGATTTCTTCAAGCAGCAAACAAAACACAAATCGAGCCTGTGACGTGAATGACATATTGTGAAGAAGCATCAGTTGGGAATATCGACTTAAAAGAGCAAGTGCATCTGCCCTGGCCGCGGGAGCGTGGGTCTTTGTGGAGCCCTCCTTCCCCAGAGCACGGCGGGGATCAGAGGGAGTCTCTGGCTGTAATGAAGGGAAGAAGGCAAGAGAGAAAATCACACTCACTTCTGCCCTCCAGTATTTCCTTTTAACACCAGAGGTGTTGTCCTCTTCAGCTGAGCAAAACATAAATAAGTTATGATGCTGGTAATGCTCAACCCAAAAACAGAAATGTGCATCTTGGAGATCTCTGGAGAGAGGAGAGCATGCATTTACCGACTGTGGACAGAGATAAAATCAGTCCTTGAAGGTTGGTGGTTTTTTTTCGGTTGGGTTTTTGTGGTTTTTTTTATTGACCAAGGTGTCAGGAAAATAAAGAGGGAAAATGAATTCCAAAGGCTAGATGAAAAACAACAGCAAAAAAGCAACCCAAAAATGAATTTTAAGATTTTTGAAATCAGTGGAATCAGCCTAAATGTCTCAGAGGGGGGAAAACAAACCTGAAAACCAAAGTTAAAACCATCCTGAGCAAACCTCTGAGCCTGGGAAGGAGAGGGGAGGCTGCCTGGTGGGGGCCCAGAGGAATATCACAACGCTGGGGTACGGGATGGTCTTCTACAGCCTGATCGTGAGTGATGGGAATAACGTTTTGTATTTGCTGCTCAAGTCAGTATCGTGTACGGGGATGATGCACCACAAGAAACTGCAAGTAAAAGCGTACAAGTAATTAATTATTTTTTTGTGGTAATTTGCCTGTTAAAAAAACCTGGAGAACCAGTACAGAAGAAACAACAGAACCACTCCAACTCTTTCCATAGCCCTTCCCAGTCTTGCCCTTTGGACTTTCTCTCCTTAACGGTTTTGGAGATAAGTATGTGATCTGGTACGCTGTGTCCACCACTGAATCCAGAATAATAGTGATGTTATTTAAGAGCAATAATCTGGGAAGAGAAATAATTAGGTAACAAAAGTGTATTAAAGTTACTACAATGTGGATGAAGCTCATAAAAATGAAATTGCTCAGCTGATAAAGCGAAGTTTTAAACTTGGAATGAGCTTTGACATAACGGTGTTAATATGGGGAGGTAAAACACCTAATTAAGAAGCTAAAAGCATGTATTTGTACCTTGCAATAATGTGCACAAAGCAGAGGTAGAAATGATTTTCCACCTTCTGCAGAGACCAAAGTGCCCACGACTCACCCTCCCTCCCCTCATGATTTTTAAATAACCTGAGCTCAGCGTAACCAATCGTCTCCTGCCGCTGCCTCTGCAGCCAGCCCTTCTCAGCCATTTGTGAAAATAGCGTGTGGGCTGATGGTAATTAGGTGCCTCAGGAAAAGTCTGTCCTTGGCAGGAAACATTGCTGTCTCCTCCCCGACGGGTTTGGTGCCCGTTGTCTGCAGCAGTGGGGTGGTGGGTGGGCACAGCACCTCGCAAACCCTCCCACTCGGCACCCAAAACGTTCCTGTGGGGCATCGTGTCTGCAGCCAGAAGCCTCCTCCTTGTCTGGTGGAAGAGGTGACCACCCTTCCACGGACCAGCAGTCGCTGTGGGTGCTGGAAACAGCAGCTCTGAGACAGAAAATTGCGTTCCGTGGGCAGTTTTGAAGACTTTCTCCAAGACGGGCTGTGATGAATGACTGTTTCCAGCCCACTGCAAAGCTGGCCGCGCTTTTTGTTGTTCTCTGATGTTACCTGCATTTCAGAGCTGCTCCTGTTGTTCCTCTTACTGCTAAGGTCCACCACTGAGTTCAAATAAAGTAGGTCTCAGGAAGGACTTGTGACTATCAGATAAGCAGTGGGGCTGCTCTGCTGTCTGTCCTATCAGTTAATGCAGCCTTCTCCGGAAATCTGAGCTTCTCTAAACTGGAGATTAAGCAGTAACAAATATTTAGGGCTGTAAGAACTGACACAAAGACTCATCTTCTGCCCACTTCCACGCAAACCACAGTGTTAAAATGCTGAGTGGTCTACGGCAGTGAGAGGAGGACAATTTTTTATCCCTCCAGGATGAAATGCAACTTCTATTTGAGAGTAAATAAAAAGTTGCTGAGTACGTGACAGAGTGTTTTGCTGGACTGTGGTGTTTTCTGCCAGCCCCGTCAGCGCTGTGAAGCGTGTGGATTTGATTACTGCTCTTCACCTTTTATTAATAAACTAACTAACAGTGGGCACCAAAAAAAAATGTGAATCTTTATGCTATAAACCCTACTGTTTTTCCAGCCTTTCCACAAGGGAGTTCATCTGACTAACCATCAAGTATCTCTTTAGAGCAGTAGGTAGATGTGAGATGGCACCATCTGTTGTTTGTTGTTTTGGAATCCACAGCTTTTTGACTAGTGAGATGTTTTGAGCTTATCACATACGTATTTTGCTGAAATTCAGGAAACGGTTAATTTCTAAGCAAGATATTGAGAGTGAATTCATTGATCTGACTTCACTGAGAGCCTGGAATGTTCAAAATTTCTTCCTAGGTACCTGAGATACCCGAAATGTGTGTGAGACATGTGCTGATGCAGGGGGCCAGATCTCCAGGCTTTCAGTGATGGCTGAAGAATGTAAGTTGGGAAAGCATCCATATTCTGCAAAGTTAAAAATAAGAGACTCCTACTGATTCTCTTCTGGGGCGTACCAGCTGAGATCTCAATGTCTTCTCTTCTGGGGCTTACCTGCTGCAGTCCAACACCTTCGCTTCAAACATTCAATGCTAAGCACGTGCCTCAGTATTTTGGAGGACGAAGAAGGTACAAATCTGACTCTGAGAAGGCTGCTTTTCCACAACGTGTCTCTTCTGAGATCCACAGATTCCTTCCAGACAATCTGTAGACTCTGAGAGACAGGAGGGAGAGACTGGTCAGCAATGCAGACCAGGAGTATCTCCTGTGGAAAGCCTCTGGACCCGGTGGAAGCATCTATGGATTGCCTGGTCCCAAACTCGCGTGGAAACTTTTGGGAGTCTTTTAAAGGAAGGTCCCAATCTGTGAATGTTTTCACGAGTGCTCTGGGACAAAGCATGGCCAGAAATAGAGGTGTTTATCCTACAGGGTTTTTATCCTTCTGCCACTGTGGGGTAGAACTGGGAACGGCTACCAAAGAAGGTTGAAATTAGACCAAACAGAGATGTGCTCCATCTGACTAGTTAAAAAGCAAATCTTGCCTCAAATGACTGTGCTCTTCACTCTTCAATTCAAAAGGGAAATGTTTCCAGCTACTTAGTCTCTTGCGTGAGCATACAAAATATGCCATTTTTTATATTTCTCATGGTCTGAACGCCTTTCTGTTTCTTTTCTTAGCTGCCTGAATTGATCTTCCTATATGCAAAACCCTGCAGAGCTTTACTCTGGACTATGCATTAGTAGTTCTGTTTGAAAGAAAAAAGGCATGTTTGACTTCTGCATCCAGCATGATTAGAATAAATTAGGATTTCAGCAAAGGGGTTTAGCTGTCCCAGCAGTCCTGGCAGCATTAGGAGGACTTGGTTCATTCCCACCAGCAGAAGGTGTTGGTGTCTCCTGGGGATGGAGGAAGCTGCTCCAGCCGTTTCCCCACCCAGAGGTGAGTCTCCTTTCTGTGAGCTGTGACCAGCCCCACTCTCTGGCTGGTGGAGGGCTGTGCTGACCTGCGGGACAGTCCTGGGGATGATGGGACCATCTACAAAGCCTCAGCTACTCTATCAAGTCTCCAGGACATGGCCAAATCCTGCTGGTTGCTCATCCACCGCTTGTTCTCCCACTGGCTCATTTCAATATCTATAACCTCTTACTCTGGGGCTTCAACCCAAAGACATTCAGATACCTTGTTGTAGTTTCCTCAAGCGTCTCCCCTTCTTTAACCACTTTTCTCTGCTGTTTGATTTTTCATTCTCCTTGCCCATCTCCTGCTGCACTTCAGTCTGTCTGTGTCTCCTGGGTGCCCGGCAGTGTCTGACGTGGTTTGCCTTGGGTCACCTCCTGCCAGAGCTGGGGCAGCCCCCCTGGGAACTGGGTATCTCCAGGCAATTCTCATCCTCCCCAGAGGCTGAAAAAGGGCTCCAAGGAAGGCTGAAGTTACGTATCCTGCTTGTTTCCCTGCAGTGATTTTTATGGCGCTGGAGCTACTATTCATTTGGCTCCTATGTCTTTGATTTCTCTTAATGGGGTTGCCTGGTTTGGGCATCAGGGTTTAATCCCTCTGCCTGGGGGTAGAGGGGTTACTGCTTGGTAGCCACCCTTTCCAAAAAGGGGGGGTTTATCAGAGCTTCGGATGAGCAGCACAGGAGAAGAAAAATAGCATCTGGGATCCTGCTGGGTAGAATAAAAGCCGTAGGAACAATCAATCCTCATGCCACAGACTACAAACTGGTCGCTACTGGACTGGAGCTCATTTCCCTTCGTAGCACAGTATTGCACAATTAGGTGCATAGGAGGGTTTATTTGATACATTTCTGAAATATCTGCTATTTACCCGCTATTGGAAAGAAATGACTAATGCAGAGGAAAAGGGTTAACCCCAGGGACGGACCATTAGTGGATGTTGTTATGGGAGAGCTCAGCAGAATAACCAGCTGCCAGCTCCCTTCTCCGGCCGGGGGCTCGACAGCTCTGCTTGGGAGGGAGCGAGAGCAGCTGGGATGGGGTTCCCTGCTCCCTGCTGCCCTGACACGGCCAATTGGGCAGTTAGCACCTAAAAAAATAATAATAAAAATGTGCTTGTGTTCAGGCTTGCTTTCTTGTGCAGCAGCAGGTGCCGAAAGATGGCAGAGGAGATCCCCTTTTCTCCTCCAGCCCCTCCGCGCGGTGTGGAAGCAGCAGTTTAACCCGGCAGAGAGGGCTGCAAACCTCGCTCCCCGGGACCCAGGGCTTAGAGACATGGAAACAGGGAGGGATTTATTTATCAGGAGTTTGCTGAAGCATGTAATTCTGCAGAGATTGTGGTCAGTGCTATCATCTATGGGAGACTTCAGTCTGTTCAAATACACAGGGCTACAGCTGTGCCTGCGTACAGCGCGTCTTCTGGGTCATGGAACAGGTTACTCTTCTGGTCGTGTTTACCATAACAAATTACATTTGTCCCTACAGACGGCTCCTGTGCTACAGCAGGGAGTTACATCCCCTAGTCTGGAAAATAGTTTGGTGCATTGCCAACAGAAGATTTGGTTATGACCCAATATTGTCTCAAAACAAGGTAACATCAGCATGAAGACAAGTGGTTCATAGCGTTCTCTGTAAGGAAAGCCTGTAATTTAGATATTAACAAAAGGGATCCCTTTTTGACTGTTTAAACTCACTTTTCAGACTTAAAAATGAAGGTGGTGGCTTTAAACTTTTCATTCCAGTGCTCAATTGGTTTTTTGATTAGCCCTCCAATGCCACAGTGTACTTTAGGTAATGTGTGCACTAGATGTGAGAGTGATTAACTCTTCCAGCTGCCTCTTTTTTCCCCCCCCCAAAGCACTTCCAACTTAAAGTTGCAAGAATTGAAAAAAAGTTATGCCCGAAACACTTTTCTTTCCTATTAACTCTCTTTTGTCATGAAAAGTGAAAAATACGCACCCTCCCCCCCCTTTGCTGACAATGTGAGATTTTTCCAGTTGGGTTGTACCCCTGGGGCTGGTACGGGATGTGCTGTGGGATGAGCCCTCATCCCTT